AAAATATTTTAACGTTTTGGGAGGAACTTACGTTATGTGTATCAGATTATACTACTTGAATCTGAAAGCCATAAACCCAGAATCATATTTAAAAAAGGTTTCGCATGCATATGACGCAAAACTGCTCCTCCGGTGCAAGCAAAGCGAAAAAAATGCTATGTGATTACAACACACTTTACCAAAATATTAATGATATGTTTCGGTACAATAATAACTCACCCATTTAATTGTACGTCTGTCAATCATATTTCAAAGCCTGATTTGCCAAAAAAAATCTCACTCCCCATATAAATGGTAACGACGTAACTTTTTCAACTTAACAGAAGCAATGCTTAAGTAAGAATTTAGTGGTTTGTACGAAAAATGACAAATGATGTATTTATTAGAATCAAACATATGAAGGTCTGAGTAATACATGAATTATTCGAGCAACATCAAAGTAGATTTTGGTCAAATTAGGCTACTTCATCGTGCGAAAAAATCGGTTTTCAGTCGAACGTATATGATTTGATTGAATTAGATCACTTGTATTGAATTCACACCAAAAATATACAAACATTAGAGAGGAGAAGGCACTAAACCTAAAAAGCTGTAAACGACGCTTAGATTCACAATTACTTACAAACAACTACACATCACTTTCAGCAAAAATACTATAATGTAACAATGGAAACATAATAATAGCTCTGATTATCGAAAAAGGTGTTAACTAAGCTGTTAGATTGGAGATATAATCGTCTAAGACATACGTCTTTCATTATAGTTATCAGCATTTCGTCCAAAAAAAGCTCAGGAGGCTGCATTAATGCGAATCTACGAATAAATGAGAACCTAGATCTCAATTTCATACACTGAATCGAATATATAGTGAGCTAGCATATCCATGACACTTTCCTTGAGACCTCTGTGTCCGAGAAATGATACATTTCTGCAAAACGCTTGCTGGGATATATACGATACATCAACTTAAAAAGTATGAAAGTCCTAAAATAGCAATAGAACATACCACATTTAAACCAATGTTATATTGGTACTTAACCTCCAAAAGTTAATATATTGAAGTTTTGCCGTGATCAAACAAAAATGATTGCTATATTCCCATAAGTCATATTAATTGGCTAAATTAATATTAGTATCAAACGCTTGCTTCTGTTGTGATTTTCTTCAGCATACAACTATATTTTCAAGTCATTATTATTCATAAGTGACAGATCGAAATTCAGTTTTTTTTGTTCGTCAACGAACATGGCATGATGTAATTGTGTGTTTATATGAACTGGTGATTCATTTGTATTTGATGGCTGCCTGATTTCGAGGTCTAAAAACGATACGTTTGTTCGTGCGCACATGATTCTTCTTTATCCAAAGCGCATCATTTCTGGGATTCCTAATTCGCACTAGAACTCAGATACAGCTAATTATCACATTAATGCTACTTAAATCTAAAGTAGTTTAAGGTCGCCAACTGATAGAGTTTTCACCACATGTTATAAAGAGGAGGCCCAGTCCCAGACCTCATGTCTTTTTGAAGATAAAAACAAACACTACATTGAATGGTTGCTTACTAAATCACAAGTAATAGTTGCTTGAAGATTAAAGTGAAAAACTTTGTTCTAGAGCATTTTTGGTGATTGAAACACCACCTATGTAGAATTACAAGCGTGGAAGTTTAGCTGCATAAGAATTAGAGTACGCCATAGTTTATCTCGAAAACGATCCAAATGAGTAACACACCCGTGAGACCAGTAGCCCAATATTAGGTAAAGGAAAGAAATAAAATGTCTTATCCGAAAACAAATGAGGAACGGCACTGAAGACGTATAGTGCCTCAAGTGATGATAAAAAACTGCATATATATATATATATATAACCGTATGCCCACGAAGTAAATATTATGTTCACTTAGAAATAATTAAGTTTTGTAGATTATCCGGGTTATTGTGATCTTACATCTGCCATTTCTTATTAGCAGTATGATTTTACGGCACGAAAAAGGACTGAGACTTTTTAATTACATATAGTTTTGTGAGTGGTGTTCTCATTACAGTTAACGTCCACCTAGCAATCGAGAATGATAATAAAAGAGTGAACCTCAAATGTAAAGATATTAATCAAGGGGTGATGAAAGATCACTTTACAGATAGGAAAAATAAGTCTTTTTCCATATGAACACTTTATCTTTTTACTGCTCAATATAAAAAAGCATAAACAGTGGTAATTAGAGAATAGTGGATGGTATCAACAGTCAGGGTCGGTAGGGGTGCAGCAGGTGGTTATGAATTCCCGTCCTACGGGCCGACTTGTCTAGCTTGTAGCGAAGCAAGAACCCTAAGTTGACTAATTCTACTCTTGCAAGTGCTTATGGCATTGAGTAGAGGCAGTAATAAGGCTTCTTACTATAACTGCAGCCAACGATTTGGAGCTTAGTGAAGGCCGAGTTTCGACGTGACGAAACAAGAGGCTGTGAACAAAACAATAGTAAATACTGAAGAGTATAAAATCACGTTCTTTCACTGAGACCCGAAATCACTTTGTGATGCTTCCGTCAAAACTCGCTCATTCGACATATTGACATGGAGAATGTAAAGTCCGGGATATAAGCGTACCTTGGCTTTCATTCTTAGGCCTCCAGAAGGTCATATTCTCATTCTTCACAAAAGCAGTTAATCTCAGAAACTGTAATAACTCAATAGATTACTACAATCTCGAGCCACAGTTGAAAAGATTGCACACATCCACAGTTAGCGCTGCTCAAATGTCTCCAAGTTATTACGACGGAAGCAGACAGAATTTACAAACCCGAACACCTGCTTCAGTAGCCCTGTAATTACAGTTTAGGGTTTCGGACGACGAGAATGGTCTCAAGACAGATCAAACTTCTGTCTTGCCACTTCCAAACACCCCACTATAATTTTTCCTGAAAGTAAGCGTCAGGATCCCATCCAAAATAAGTTCGATAAATGAACCTAAAACCTGGCTGTTCTTGAACGCAACTGACGGCGAAGTTTGTGTTTACGATATGGCTATCTTCAGACGAGAGTGGCAACAAAGCGGAGAAAGTAAATTAGTGATTTAAACCAGCAAGCACTTCGGAGTCATCGAAGCCACCCGTATATGCATCAGAGAGAATGAAAGTGAGAAAAACAAACAAATTTTAAAAACTGGATGAAGTCACTGCAGCTTGTAGCAGGTCTCTGATACCAAAACCTTACGTGATTTCTTTCAACCTTTGCGTAAACAAATGATTTCGAACCTTTCATATATTCTATCACTGACATTTACACTTACCAATTACTTACGTACAGATTCGAACACGTTTTGTACGCGTGTATGCGTTGATTAGTTCGTGTCTTTATATTTACAGGTATCTGTTTTATTCTTATGAAGACCGAGCTACCTACTACTTACAGATTCTGCTATTTATCATTCAGTTTTACACTGTATTTTCATTGTCTTTTATCGTTCTTCTGAAATATGGACTGAATCCTCCTTAAATATCTCTCCGTTCGGCCACTTGTTTCCATTTTCTTTTTAACAGAATACGTAGACGGAATACATATTATGCAAACAGGACACATATTTCATAAACATTAATATCATATTAGTGTCAAACATAGGGCAGTAAATCTTATTTCAGGTGGTGCTGAATTCAATGTCTAGGACCCTTGCAGGACTTGGACTAATTATCTCTCACTTTGTCAACTCAAGTGTTCAAGTACAGCGTTTGAGTGATTACAGCTTCATTGAACACCCATTTCGGAGCCTAGCTAGAAGCGTCCGGTGCTGCAGAGTTTGTACCGTGGAACCAATTGAAGACTAACGGTGTTCTTGTCAGAACGTAACTCACTTTGTTATTTAGCCACTACGAGTTCAGAATGTTGAGAAAAAGAAAATTACAACAACCACGGCCGAAATATATATCTGGGCAAAACAAAACGAAGATTATCAGAGAAACCATACAAGGAAAATGGTACCATTAAAAGTTAAAAGTAATCGTGAGCATAAATGAACAGGAATCATAATTTCAACCAGAAAATAAGCGTGAAACATGGAAACAAAGGGATCTCAACATCAACTTGAGATTCGCGTTACAGCTAAAGTCTTTGCTGCAAGAATGTAAACCTTAGCAGTTTTCGCACATATGTGCAAAGAATCTCACTCTGATATCGCCATGTTGGAATTATGATCAGGTAACCAACCGACTTACAACACTCTCTGACCTCAGCAGTGGAGAACAGTACAAATTGATGAGCAATAGGGACTGAGAAGAGCAATATTTTCAACTCTCTCTAGAATGATGTCCCTATTACAACAAGATACAGGAAATTTAACGTCGCATATCAAGCTAGGTACATGAAAACCGCTTCAGCCATGAATCAGTGTTTGGAGTAGATAGCGAATTTTACTTGGGCAGTTTGGTAGTATAAATTACTTTGCTTGAAAAAACATTTCGCGTCAAGTCATGGGAGAAGGTTTATCCAGACAAATGCAGCAGGAAAATTTTCAGATTACCTGCGGGCATTTAATCGATTTGCTGTACGATTCATATTAGAAAGTGTTACTGTTTAAGGAATTGTCGAACTCCAAATACCTGTGGCATCTTCATTACATTAGGTAGATAAATTGATAAGGGACACGAAATAATTACCAATCACAAAATTAAACGTCTTCGCGAATACGGGAATATTATGCTAACCCTTCTGACAGATCAAGTTTAGTTTGTCCGACTGATAATACTTAGTTTTTAAAATTTCGACAACATATTCTCGCGCGGAATTTCAAAAAGGGCAGTGATTTTTGTACTTGTTGTGATTACACTTGCTTTTGGTACTTATTGCACTAAAAAGCATTCTTGGTCTACTTTAACTAAGAGTTCTTTGGTTAAAGTTTGAAATTTTTTGCTACATTTTGTCCTGGGTACCTGTTTTTAGTCCTTGACTAAGACTTGTGTTCACATTGTTATCGTTTTTTGTTTTTTAAACCTTTTAAATCGAATTACAATGGTTGGTAAGACTCACAAATGTGGGCAACCAAATTGTTTGTTCTCCGTTGAGGAGGGAATGCAGTGTGACGACTGTAAAAAGTGGTATCACAAAATGTGTACACGACTAAGTCCGACGGCTTACAAAAGATGCTCGAAGCCTAACTCGCATTGGCTTTGTGTGTTCTGCTGTACGGATAAAAAGGTACTAATACAGGAGGCTATGGGCCTATTGGCTTTGGCCTGCAAGAAAAACGATGGCGGAAGCACTGATAACAGGAGTACTGACGATGAAGAATGTGTCAGTGTAGTAAGTGCTGTTACTAGACCCATTAAACACCTGACTGCGGTTGACGGGATTGTGAAATCTCCGTTGACATTAACGAGAAATGAAGTGTCGCCTGATATTGACATCGGCAGTCATACACCTCTAGTCGAAATAGAAGATCAGGATAAAACTATCACCGTTCCACATGGTCCAGGTGTGGCTGTTCTGAGTGGTGACAAATGGACTCCGGTAAGAAGAAAAAAAAATAAGAAGAAAAAGGCTGTAGGCAAAACGCAGCTGGTCAGCAAGACATTGGAAGGGACTTTATCAGAAGAAAAATCCTCACCGCGTGAAAAGATAGATCTCTCTGAGAGATCAGTCATTTTTCATAAGATAAGAGAATCTTCAGACACTGAACCAAAGACAAGATTTGAACATGATCTTAATCATATTAAGACATCATTAAGTAAACTACTCCCAGATACAGTTTCAGGAGTTAGTATTTGTAAGCTTTATAGAATAGGAAAAAAGGTGGATTCCGAAAGTCCTCAGAAAAACCGCCTCCTAAAGGTTACATTCAACACGGTGGAAGAAAGGAACCTGGTTCTAAGTAATTCACGTAAACTGATTGGGTCCGGAATATATGTCCGTGAGGACCTCAGCCTAGCTGATCGTATTAAGAGAAGGGCTGCAGAAGCGGAAATAAACGAGCGTCGCCGAAACGGTGAAAGAAACCTCGTTCTTAAGGGTTTTCAGATTGTAAAAGTTCGGAGCAAAACGATCCCCAAGCCACTCTGGGTGGCAAGGGAAAGCTCTCCACAGACTTAAAAGTGTGCTACACAAATGCTCGCAGCCTACTAAATAAAATGGCGGAGCTGAAGTCAGTGGTGGATAAAGAAAAACCGGACGTTATCGCTGTCTCGGAAACTTGGTTAACGTCAGAAGTATTAGATAGTGAAATCCAATTGACTGGTTTCATAACCAGTAGGGCTGATAGATTAAACCGAAGGGGAGGCGGGGTTATTGTGTACACGAAAAGTACCCTAACCATAAGATTAGCTGAGACAGTAGCACATGTTTCAGGGACATGTGAACTGGTGAGATGTAAGTTGAAATGCCGAAGGCAAGATATTGAATTAGTTGTAGTTTATCGCAGTCCAGAATGTGTAGCAGACGATTTTCTCCTCAGTAAACTTAAGTCCTGGTGTAACAACGGTAAAAGCCTTGTAGTAGGCGACTTTAATGCACCATATATAAACTGGGTTAACTTAGAAGTAGAGTCATCTATATCGTCGTTCGACTCCAAACTGTTAGAAACCTCGATTGGACTAGCATTATTCCAACACATTAGAGATCCCACAAGATACGACTTAAGAAACTCTTCCTCTCTTTTAGATTTAGTCTTCACACACGGTGAGGACGTTGGTCAAACGGCTTTTCTCCCACCACTTGGGAGAAGTGACCATGCAGTCATCTTATTCAAATTCATGGCTGAAATTGCTTCTCAAACAATTGCGCCGGCCCGTCCTAACATATGGAAGGCAGATATGCAGGCAATTGACTCCGCAGCATCGGCTGAGAACTGGGAAATTGACTCAAAGGCATCAGTACAAGAGGCATGGACTCTATTCAGACAGTTATACAATCGGGTAACTCAACCATATATACCCTGGACTGTCCCAAAGAAAAAGAAGCACGGACATCCCTGGTTAGGGCGGGATATTCGACGCTTACTAAGACAAAAGAAGAAATGCTGGGATGTTGCCATCCGCCTTGGCACAGCAGATACGATGGAACACTACAGATCGATAAGAAACGTGTGTATAACGAAAATTCGGGAAGCGCAAAGAAAATACGAAATGCAGCTGGCAGAATCTGCTCTCAAGCAGCCCAAGAGGATATTCTCGTACATAAACTACAGAACAAGGACTCATCACTGGATTCCCAACCTAATTAAAGTAGGAAGTGAATCTGAAATGATAGAGGAAGATCATGAAAAAGCTGAGATTATGGCTGACTACTTTGGGGCAGTTTTCACTCAGGAACCTCCTCTAGAGAAAGAACCAGACCCAATTACAGAGTCAACAAACCAGCTGCTCACCGTGGACTTCGACCAAAACGATGTGCTTAAGGCTCTTAGCACCCTAAACATGGAGAAGTCAACAGGACCAGATGAACTACACCCTAAAATCTTGAGACATATTGCCGAATATATCGCAGCCCCACTGACTGTGATATTCAAAATGTCACTTGACCAAGGTGTGTTACCTATGGACTGGAAGGACGCAATCGTCACTCCCATACATAAAACTGGTCTACGACAAGTTCCATCAAATTACAGACCCGTAAGCCTCACCAGTGTTGTTATTAAAATACTGGAAAGGATAATCAAACGGACCATAACAGCATTTATGGAAACCAATAACTTGCTGAACATGGCACAGCATGGTTTTAGAAAGGGTCTATCCTGTACAACGAACCTCCTTATAGCTAGGGAGCTCTGGATTAATGCGCTAGACAACGGAAACTCAGTGGATGTTGTCTACATAGACTTCAGTAAGGCTTTTGACAAGGTGCCAACTAATAGACTGCTATTGAAGTTGGCAAACCTTGGTATTGCCGGACCTCTTTTAAAATGGATTAAGGATTTCCTAGTAGGTCGTAGGCAAAAAGTAAGAATAAATTCCAAGTGCTCCATCTGGAGACCAGTACTTAGTGGAGTACCCCAAGGTTCCGTCCTAGGTCCTTTACTTTTTATAATGTACGTTAATGATCTTACAAGTATAGTACAGTCTCCAATGTTATTATACGCTGACGATGTAAAAATTTGGCGAGTAATAACTGGAGACACAGACACATTTACTCTTCAGGCGGACTTAAATAATATGATAAACTGGTCTAAAGAGTGGCTAATGCCTATCAACTCGGAAAAGTGTGTCTACATGCACTTGGGGGATTCAAAGGTTAATACGTACAACATAGGAGATGTGTCATTACCCGTAGTCCGGTCTCATAAGGACCTAGGGGTGACCGTGAGCAATGATCTTAAGACGACGGCCCATTGCCGGGAGGTCGCAGTTAAGGGGTTTCGAACCCTCTGGGCTTTAAAAAGGACATTCACTAAGCTTGATACTACCATGTTCACCACATTATACACATCCTTAGTGAGAACTAAGTTAGAGAACTGTGTTCAGGCTGCAAGCCCCTGTTTAAAAGGTGACTCAGACATACTAGAAAAGGTACAGAGGGCAGCTACGCGTGCGATTCCGGAACTCCGGGGTTTATCATATGAAGAGCGGCTTGAAAAACTGAACCTCTTTACTCTGTCCTATCGCAGACTAAGGGGAGATCTAATATTGATGTACAGAATACTGAGAAATGATTTCGGACCTAACTTATTCTCTCTCTTTCTTCCCACTAGATCGGGACACCTCAGAGGACATAGTAGGCGAGTAGAAAAGCCAAGAACGAACAAAATACCTCTGGCATACAGGTTTTCACACCGAGTCATCAATACTTGGAACCTGCTGCCTGAAGCAGTGGTATCCGCACCTTCAATTGACTCTTTCAAGAGAAGACTGGACACTCACAGAAGCATACTAGAAAAGGAATAACATAGGCCGTAGGCCTTCTGTCCTTACTACACAAATCTGAATCTGAATCTGATTTATTGGGAAATTTAGGCTTAATTCCTCGATAGGACTGCAGTGGCTAGTACTACGTCAAGTTCACATAAATCATTCTAGTTTCTGGACAAACTAATTTTATTGTTCTTCTCAAACTACATTCCAATTTCGTCACTTATTCGCTTATTAATGATCTTGTGCTCATCACGTCCCTGCAACTTATTCTTGGTCCGTACATAAATGTTGAGTCACGGTTGATCGAAACGAATAAACTCATTCACCTTCTTCACTGCTCGTCATTTCGTCTCGCTCCACTCTCTCAACCTTGTTTCCTTCGCTTCACTTCCCTAATTGTCTGTTCAGATCAATGAGTGCACGAAATATACGTATTCAAACTTCGTTTTCGTATTTAACATATTCCGTTATTCACTAACTCGATTTAACTTAATAATTATGTACGACAGTTTGTGGAATGTATATTTTCGTGGCAATCATACGATTTAACTGGAGTCAGAAATATGACCACAAAACAACAGGATGTTTCCATCCCAGGAATCACGCATCAAAATACAGTCATAAAAATGAAAAGTCACTGTTCGTTCAAGCTACTCATTTAAAAGGTAAGGACGAATCAATATGGTAGTCGTCATAACCAAAGTTTCAAGTAAAATAACATTGAATTAGTTCAACAGAACCATAGAAATTCATTAGAAAAGTGAGTAAATCTGAGACTACAATAAGAAAATAGTAAGTGCATTGTCTAATATCTGAAGGTCAGCAGACTGTACAGCTAAATTGACCAAGGAGAGTAACTTCACGTCTAAAAGTAAAGCAACAAGTTACACAACCAAAGTGTACTTAGTGAGATTTTCATACACATTCGCAAAACGCTTCTTAAAATGATATTGCAGTTATTATTAGTTTGCTGGACTCTTGCAATAATGATTGCTGGCAAGTAACTATTATTGAATACAAGTGATTGAAATGCGGGACTGGTGGGCAAACCGTTTGGACCATATGGTGTCTGTATATCCATCACTTTTAAGAATAACACGGAAGTTCTGTGCATGGTGAGTTTATTGTCTGTAACAAAGGATCCAAACCCGGTAAAACCAGCAATTAGAAATGCATGGATTCGACGATATATTTGAAAGATGATCGACATATAGATAAATATGTGATCTAATATGACTATTTGATGTCGAATATGCCCAGTGCTGTGTACGCGATCGTGATCTAGTGTGTATGCTTGCTCGAACGCCTTAATCCAGGGGTGTGTCCAGTAAATTTAACGATGTCGAAAACCAGCGGAACTATTTATTTTTCGGATTTATTTACCTCTACAAGAGGATTACTAAATCTGATTCAGTGTTTCTCGGGCCACTTATTGAGCAAATGGTCTGATTTCAATGATGTGCCCTACGATCTTAAAAGCGTAGGGAAGATCACTCATAAAACCTACAAAATAAAGAACTTATAGTTGGTCAGGAATATTTATCTCACATTTGTGCTGTATAAAATCTTTCCTTGATTGCTCCAGAATGCAGTCCAATCTAATTAAAGTATTCTGTCGAAATTTTGGCAGCGTCGTGAAGTTTCTTCCAAAATATAAACAAATTCTCTCTGCTTTTACTTTACGAAAACGAGATCATGTTCTATATATAAAAAGACAACACAGGCCAGCTTTTTGTCTCCTGGTTAAAACTTACAATTCGCCTTTGACTACATAGAAATTTTATCTGATATAGCACTTCTGGTTTCTCCTAGACATCACTTACCATAAGGCACACTACCTACACGATGGGTGGGTTTCATTAACTCACTATTGTCCTTCCTGTGATATTATCTGGAAATTTGAATGCCCTACATCACGGTTAATAAAGTGTTTAGCTCTTCTATTAAACAAGCTGTTGAGTAGCGCTATCCAGTGTTAAGGTTTTTTTGATAAGCTTAAGGTTAGTTCTAATAATAAGCTAAGGGGTAACACTCAGAAACTGGAGACACAACATAGCAAAATGGAATGTAGACATAACTTCTACTCCTTAAGAGTTGTCAAATGCTGGAATTCGCTGCCGGCCGAGCTAGTCCAAGCGACTTCTCAGGAGTCCTTAATGAGGCGACTTGATCTATTCTTAAGCCCGGGTCCCCCAGGGCTCAGTACTAGGGCCTCTTCTCTTCTTGATCTACATGAATGATCTTCCTCAACAGGTAACGTCAGACTTACTACTTTTTGCCGACGACGTAGAACTTTGGGGAGAGATACGCAACCAAGACGATACACAGGCACTTCAGGAGGATCTGACTCGACTTCAAAGTTGGGCAGACGATAACGGACTTACGTTTAACACTTCAAAGTGTAAAGTAGTCCATCTGCGACATGTCGCAAACTACAGTTACAACTTAGGAAACTCCTCTCTAGTAGTGTGGTGTGAGCTACTTATATTGATATAAGTAGTATATAACGTGCGTTAAAAGAACGTAATGTCCGGCAGCAGAAGATGGCGAAGATCAAGAAAGGAAGAGCAAGAGCACAATGGAATTGTAAGAAAACGCATGTACAATGGAATGGGCGACAATGGATTAGTGTTTGCAACGGGAACAGTACAGTTTGATATGATTGAATGATATTTTGCAAATTGACGATTGACTTTATGGTATTCACATTTTATTGAGATAGTCTGTAATTTTTGTGCTAAATACAATCGATTGTCCCCACCCGTGTTCTTGTTCACTACAGTAGTATCCCGAGTCGAAAAAGATTTAGGAGTCCTGGTGCCCCATGACTTAAAGTCTTACGCTAACTGTGACAAAAATGCCTTCCGAGCAAACCTTGCACTGGTAACGTTGAAGCGCATTTTTGGCCAGTTTGACGGAAGAACTTTCCACACAATCTTCAATAGTTTCATCCGTCCCCATTTGGAGTACGGAAACATAGTACTCCCCCCCTCACTCCATAAGGACAAAGTCACTTTGGAGCGTATCCAACGGCGAGCCACGAAATCAGTTCGAGGACTCAAATCTAAGCCTTACGAAGAACGCCTCCGTTCACTAGACCTTTACCCACTAGAATATAGGCGTCTTAGAGGTGATTTACTAATGGCTTATAGCATTCTTAACACTTCTGAACATCCTCTTAAACACCTACTTAAGCTTAGTTCGAATAATAACCTAAGGGGTAACACCCAGAAACTGGAAACACAACACAGCAAGACGGAATGTAGACACAACTTCTACTCCTTAAGAGTTGTCAAAATCTGGAATTCGCTGCCAGCCGAGCTAGTCCAAGCGACTTCTCAGGAGTCCTTCAAGAGGCAACTTGACCTATTCTTAAGGACCAAGGACAGCATCACATTATGATTTACCAATTTCTTTTCCTCTTTTATTGTTAACATACCTAGGTTCCTGCCTGGAGGATTTGGTGATCCCCTGCTACTAGACACGGAAGCCTGTTAAGCGAAAGCTTCTTCTATTCCGTCCACAACCATTTGAACCATTTGAATCACACAGTGATTTACTAATTTCTTTTCCTCTTTTATTGTTAACATACCTAGGTTCCTGCCTGGAGGATTTGGTGATCCCCTGCTACTAGACACGGAAGCGTGTTAAGCGAAAGCTTCTTCTATTCCGTCCACAACCATTTGAACCATTTGAACGTTTTAGTTCACTTACGATATTCATGGCGCCATCTGTGAAAAAATGAAGTCCAACGAGAAATCTGGTGGACACAGTAATAGTCTGGTCAAATCTAGTAGATCATCTTCAAAGAGGAATGATTTTGATCAGAAGAAGAGGGTTAGTCTACTGACGGTTAATTTCTCAAATCTCAGAAAGAGGAAGAGCATACACAGCAAGTGTTTGAGGAGTTTGTCGCCACTTTTGAGGAGCCTTCTAAATCCCGAGCGTGGGTTAAGGGTGGTGTCGTCAATCCGTCTTCAGGTATATAAGTTTGATTGTTGATAATAACAGCTGCTATAGGTTCCTCAGAGGATACGAAGGGGACTGGCCGCATTTACAGACCTGTCTCGAAGTTGGATTCTAAATTAAATAAAACTGAGGAACAGAATAAAGCAGATTTCAAGAAATCCACTGAAAAGCCTGTAAGGAATTATCCACCTTATTCTTGTTTGTAGCCAGCTCTCGGCAAGCGCAAGGGACAAGAACAAAAGAAATCTAAACTAGAACAGTTCAAAGAGGAGCTCAAATTGTATGTTCATGTGACAATCCTCTAACTTGACCACAACTAGGATTCAGCAACAGAGAGAGCAAAGACATGCATTAAGACAAGGCAGAAATCAACTCTCTACACAGTCTGAGCTAGATCTCTCCGATGTTGGTATGCGTAACCGGGAATATCGGAGGGGTTCTTCCAATAATCAGGGTGGAGATTCAGGCATGGGTTTTCACAACACAGTGTCGACACCACCGAGCTTTTATTCTAAACGCAGCCAAAATGATCGTCATGATGGTAGTTTCCACTTCCGATAGTTAACCTTATTTAGTTGATTACCCATATGATTACGATGGTGATAGAACAACAACAAATCTTTTTCTTGGGAATCTAAACCCTAAAGTATTTCAGTTTTATTCAGTACATCACATATTCAGATGACGGAGCAACAGCTGTGTGAGGCTTTCGGTCGTTATGGTCCTCTTGCAAGTGTCAAAATAATGTGGCCTAGGACAGAAGAAGAACGTTCAAGAGGAAGAAACTGTGGATTTGTTGCTTTCATGAATAGAAAAGATGGCGAACGAGCCCTCGACAACATTAGAGGTCAGTTTATCTTGCTCTTAATTTTAGTTTAAACGTGATTTGCACTAGTTCACCACTCTTAATATCTGTCAAAGCACGCGTCTCCATTTAAAAAGACCCTAAGTTTGATTTATGCATTTTATGCGGTGAACTGTCAGTGTTGGGTTCAAACTAGTATTACAATATAATTTACGTGTTAATTTTATTCTCAGTTCACTTCTTAAAATACTAATTATCTTTCATCATAGGTGTAAAGATTTGCAACAAGCCGTGACTTAGTTATACCTAACATGGGGTCTCATACAGCTTTTCATCTACTCATCTTGGTAGTAGGCAAGAAAACCAGTCGTTGAGTAGGTAAAGGCCGTGTATCTTTAAAATGCATCTGTTCTCAAGAAAGTAGATATGCAACATTCAGATTGTGTGCTTCATGGTTATATTATGTATTCTAACAGTTAACGTTGAGTGGGCTCACGTGAATATATGATTCGTGTGTCGTGTATTTGGTTCCTCTTTATACCAATGTTTGTGTTTTAATAAAATTATTTTCATCTCCAAAGAACTGTAAATCTTGTGGAGATGTCGTCCTAGTAACGCTGATCTATCGGCATTGTCAGAGAACATTGAATGTCAGTATTTAATCGATCCGTTTTAGGTCCTAGTTTCTGTGCTTTAAGCACTTTTTGTCCGTGAAAGTCGTTTAGTGTAGTTTTTGTCTTCTAATATCGGTAGTAGAAATCGAACGTCAGTCAGTTTGTGAGATTGTACTGGAGAACAAAGTTTCGTTTGGTTATCACTTGTTGTCTTATCCTGGTTATCATATAATCAGGTGTGACAAATTCATTCTAGGGATACTTCGCTTTCCTCTATTCTACATGTGCAGTAAAAGAGGATGAAGTCTATTCATCTTATAGAAAGATCCTTCAGTATTGTTAGGTTTATAATTTCTCGTTATCTTACGAAATTTGTCAATATTTTTAGTATGGCGGGTCCCTTGATGTACTACTTTGTTAAACTAATGTTGTAGTATCTTGATTGATTCTGTGTATTTGTTTCCTCAGTTCTTGATTTGTGAACTTATTCATTAATGTAGTGTACATATTTTGTATTACAGGGAAAGAACTTATGGGATTTGAAATGAAATTAGGTTGGGGGAAAAGCGTCCCGATCCCTTTATACCCAGTTTACATTCCTCCGGCATTGCTTGAGTTGGTTAAACCACCTCCTCCAAGTGGACTACCATTCAATGCCCAACCTAGAGAGTGGTTGAAGTCATTTCGCTTGGCGATCAAGGAGCGAGCCAAACTTGTAACTGATGGTGCAGACGGTGACAGCGCGCCACCACCCCCAGCTCCAGACCGAAAGCCATACGATATAAATAAAATGTCGAGTGAAGAACTTACTGAAGTTAGTATTTAGAGTTTTTTCCTTCTTGCAAAACTAAGTTTTAAGTAGATTATTCACTGGGAAATATACTTCGTACGATGTATATTAAACCGAAAACTCGGTAGTGATCTGTTAATTCTTCATGTGTTTTAGGTTTAGTGACTTGTTGAGTATCGTCGTAGTAAGCTTTCACAGAAATATATTTGAATGACTTGGAGAATTGTGTTTTTCTCATTTTATTTGGTTAGCATTTACTGAACTATTATCAATTAATATACTAAATTGGCTGGGAAAACAGGAGTTCTTTTTGTTATATTGTTGTCCCAATCTGATTCATTATAGCCAAATTGTATTCAATTATCGGTAATCTTATGGAAATTTGATAAGTTGACATGACTTAAGAACTTTTTCAAAGTCTACATGCGCAAATATAGTTCTATTAACTAAACGGTTTACTCTCAGTAGTAGTTTCATACTTTGCGTACTGAATCCAGGTGAGCACTTCGAATAAGAACCTGAGTTTCATTGTCAAAACTGTCTAGTTTAGTTTACGATTGCCAATAGCTATGAATTTTAATATTTAGGGACAATTCTGCTTTTTTGGCATGCACAATAACTTATCATGAGATTCACACTGTATAAGTTGCTCGCTTGGCTTTTGCCAACTTACGTCACCTATGGCGAAGGCGAGATATCCGTCTATCAATACAAGGACGAGTATACTGCGCTGAAGTACGTTGTTTTAATTTACGGCAGCGAAACATGGCCGTTAAGAGTGGAGGATACTCGTAAGTTACTAGTATTTGATCACAGATGTCTTAGAAATATTGCTGGCGTCTGCCGGGATCACCGGGTAAGTAATAGTGAGGTTAGACGCAAGGTATTAGGGAATGATGGCAAATCAGTCTGTGAGGTTGTAAATCTTCATCGACTGAGATGGTTGGGCCACGTGTTACGTATGCCCGAACACCAATTACCACGACGTGCAATGCTAACCGGTGTTGGAGATGGCTGGAAGAAAGTTAGGGACGGCCAAACCAAAACGTGGCATCAGTGCTTGAAGTCACTAACTTCTAGTCTGAGCCACGTTGGTAGATGCAGACTACTTGGTTGTGGTCCGCGTGACAATCGTAACCAATGGTTGGAGACTCTTGGTGACATGGCTCAGAATCGACCACAATGGCGTTGGTGTATATACTCTTTGTCCCCCCTTAAATGGTGAGATTAAAATTGCTTTATATCTTTTTTCTACGAACTAATTCTTTCTCCCTGTACTATATCCTTATACACAATCTTTTATATATTACTACCATTGAAATAAGTACTTTATGAATTTGGTGTTCATCTTGTGCTAATGAGGTGTGGCAACTTGGACCGATGCATATATATGTGCATGGTCCTACGTTGTAACTGACTGACAACAAATTGGTTTTCATGCTTTACGAACCCCTTCAATGAAAATCGTGCTCCTAAAACAATACAAGTGACAGTTTTATATATTCCTTATTCCAGACCTGTGGGTTTCATAATATTAAGCCACTATAGCAAACTAATTGTGTTCTCAAATTTTCTGTTTTGGTCTTGGATGAGTGTGAGTTTTTAGGATGATCTCTTATTCATCGTAACTATATTCATGTATAATTCCGTGAAGTTTTGTACTCATCCATTTCATTTCCACTTGGGGATATTCAAGGATCAGTACGTTATTTAGACAATAATTAGAGATAAGGTAATTGTCGCATCAGTCAGTTTAGTTTTAAAATATTTGAAACTAATTTTTTCACTGGTTTTTATCTACTGAAGCATTTTTACCTGTATAACATGTTTGTCGAGTTAGTTATTTGTTTTTTAGTTTCATTTCCTAATCCATATTTCAAAATCCGTTTAATTCATGGATAGATTTCGCCTTTTGAGAAATTTGGTCTTTTCCTCTCGGTTCTGACTTTGGAACTACTCATTAAGTTGTTCGTCGTTTAGCAGACAATAAGCCTTTTTCTGTGTATAGCAATAAAACAGCTAAAATCTATTGTGAACATATCAGTGGTCTTTAATTCGTGACCAGATGTTGGGTATATTTTGGTGTTTTTTTTATCTACAATACGTTTTGAGAAAAATTTCGTGCTGTGAACTTTATAAAGTCATATATACTTCTAACATAATCTGAACTTTCGTCTCACTCATACTCTTTCTGTCAATTTAAAGGTTCTCCGTGAAGCGGTGGTTAAGGTCGTTATGCCAAGTGATAGGTAGGTGTTTGTTAGTGGCATTTTTACTTTTCTAATTTTCAAAATTCAGATCCATACTTGCTCTGATTCATCGCATGATTGAATTTGTCGTTCTTGAAGGTCCTCAATTCGAGGCCGCGGTTATGCACCGGGAAGCAAATAATCCTATGTTTAAGTACTGTCGTGTTTAATAATTATACTCTTAACTGATACGTTATTTAGATTCCTTTTTGATTATCAGTCTTCGGATCATGTATACTATCGCTGGAAGTTATGGTCTGTTCTACATGTAAGTTTGCAGTTCGTTTACCTAATATTTGTAGCCATAGTTACGGGCATCATCAGAAAGTACTTTGGAAAAGTTACTTGATGGATATGACTAAATTGTTACACAATCAGTTTATATAAATAGTAACATTAATGTGCGTTAAAAATAGGGGATTTCTATTTTATTAACATTGCATATTGCCACACTGTTAGGTAAACTAGTACGATACGAGAGATGCAGGTTTTTGAGAATCAAACTTTACCAGCGAATATCAGTTAATTTATCGTAAATAACAAAATAGTTTTTAAATTAAATCTTCCCATGACCGTCGAGTTCTCGTGGTGATTAAACGTCCAGCTAATGACCTAATTCTCAGTTGCTGTGTTCTAGGAAATAAGTGCACGGTTTGATAAATTTAGATTTATTCTTATTGATATTATTCTTCATTTTTGTAAATGTAATAAACTATCTGCATGAAGCTCCGTCAGCACTACTGCCAGTCAATTGTTTCCTAAAGTACCGTGAAGTTATGATGTTATTTAGATTTTAGATCTTGTTTTTAAATAAAGCTGTAGTTGAACTGATTTTAACCATAATAATCAGCTTTAGCATTTATCTGTAAACATTTGTTCAACTAACACTAAAATACTGTCTAAGTAATACAAATAAGAAGCTTTCCTTAGTGTTTGTTGTGTAACCTCTTCCTTATCGTTTGTTTCATTCTTTATTCTTCAACTTCGTAATTTTTCTGTATGTTGTCTCTTAGTGTTTATATCCTACACCACATGTGTTTCGAATCACAGTTTCAAGAGTAATTATTATACCAAACACTTCTGGATAAATGTAAAGCTATTAGTCGAATCCACGGCAAATAATTTATTTCAGTAACTATGTCCAATATTCTTAGGGTGAAGTAAGTTAAACTGTTGTGTAGTACACTAAGCTTTTTGTAGGTCGTCAGATGTTACCAGTAGCGCATTTTGTCAAACGTCAAACAAGTTTTATCTTCTGGCTGAGATAAAAGTAAATTACATACGTTAGTTTATCTTATCGAGAACATTTTTTGAATCATGCTACAGAATCAAGTGCTTGCATTTATATAGGCATGAATTTGAAACATTGGCTATAGGACAGATGGATGCTCCAATCTATATCCAATATTGCACACAAAGTCTTAAGCGAAGATTGATCTCTGTAAACTATCCCATGAAAAGGCAAATATCAGTAACTTGATAATATTCATATAAGTTTGTAATACAGTTAATAAAGTGGTCAAATCGGAGTAATAATTGCACTGTGGTAACTAAAAGAAAACGGAAGTGTGGGGTTTTCAGTTTGACAAAGCTTAGGGAAAAGTGAACGCAAATAAACAACAGTTCAGATTGTGTCAGCAGAATTTTTGAAGTAACATGTATACCTTGAAATCCTCGTTTATCAGTACTACAGTTTTATCAAAAACTATCAGCTTGATGAGCATAGTTTGAAATATTTCCTTTCAAATTCAGTGTGATCAGTAGTGCCTTTTGTTATTCACTGATACTAATTCACCTGATACAGTGTGTATATTTGGGTTTTTTTCATTTGTTTTTTGAGTTACACTCATAATCTATATTCTGTGTCGATAAACCTGGATGACATTGACGGTATCTTCATTAAACTTTTTCTAAGTCGTGATTTTATAACTTTGGTATCATTACTATTTTTCACAATTCTTCGAATTTACTATTTTGTCTATATGTTTGTTATGTAAGGGCGAAAGTGTAACCAAATGGCGTACAGAAGAATTTCGAATGTTTGAAGGTGGTCCGCTTTGGCGTCCCCCTCCTGTTAATTTATTCTCTGGTGGCATGCCAGAAGACCTTGTTGAAGAAGATGATTATCCTTACGCCCCAGGATATGTTCCGCCGCCTTCTGGAAGAAGACGTGAATCTGAAGACTTGTGAGTGTAAATAGCTGTCTCGGCTTAGTTCATCCCACCATTAACTCGCAATATTTTTATCTTCATATTATAAATTTGCTAGCTTTACCATTACTGTTTAAAATTCTGTATTTTAAAGTCTTAATTGTTATTTAGCCTAATATTTTTCCGTAGTTCCTCTCAAAGCATATTATGGAAACTGAATACTCAATAAACTCATGTATATTTCTTACAAGTTTTCACCATAGTTAAAATGTGAGTAGTTTATTCAGACACTGGTTTTGTTATTCAGTTACACTAGTTTTCTTGTCCATTAAAATGTAGTATAAAGTGGAGATATTACATTTCCTTTCAAACATATGGATTGTATTGTCTGTTCTAAAAATTGCATTCATCACTCATTAGTTAATCACTGTTAAGATGTTTTAGCCTTTGTTCAAGGCGTTTTAAGGTTTTCGTTATCATAAGAGTATTTCGTGATCATTTGGGAGTTAACGATCCGAAAGTCTTATTGTGGTCCATAAACTCATGGATGCATATCCCTAATGTCTACCAGTGATACTAACTTCTACCAGAAGACGTTTTTCAAGGTAGGATAATTAACGTTTAACAGTCTACAATTTTCAAACAGAAGTAATTTAAATACTCTAGAATATTTTTAAAAGTTATTTTGGTTAAAAGGCGGCTCAGTCATTGAGTTGTGTATTTACATGTTCACACCTCTGTTTTCGGTCTGGGTAACAGGCTAATATCGATGATTGTTCATAAGTGTCACCCAAAGCTCATTACACAAATCCCTACTCCTTCACTGACTCACATTTATTTCAAACTTTTCATGGTAATTACGATGATAAATTTGACCAAATTCCTGTATACTTTAAGAGTTTCACTGTTAATTTTTCTTACACTAAGATTAAAAGTAATCTTGTTTAGTATTCTGAGTATTTGAATTTGGAAAATCCCTTTGTCAATCCTATTATTGCAGGCAAGAAGAAATTCGTTTAGAAGCTGCTGCCGCTTCTCGTCGTTGTGGTTTAACAGAGGCACAACGAGGTCGGTTTACTCAAATGCTGGAGGATCTTGAACCCTGTCGCATTAAAATAGGTGAGGTTATGGTGTGGTGTTTGGAACACGCGGATTCTGCCTCCGATATCGCCTTGTGTATAGTTGATTCAGTTGCTCCAAATTCGAATTTCATTTCAAATTATTTGGATAAAGAAACAAATTCAGCCGATGAAAATCCTATCTCAGACTTGAAATCCGACCAGGATTCTACAGAGCATGAAAAATCTCAATCTATAAGCATAAATAAATTGGTCGCTCGTTTGTTCTTGGCTTCTGATATACTATATAATTCGTCAGCTAAAATTCCAAACGCTTCTTTCTTTCGAAAGTGGTGCGTTCATATAACTGGTAACACGTGTTTATTTATTTACTTATATATTAGGAAATATATATAAGTAGGTTGTTGCTTGGAAATAATAACTTATTGAGAATTTATCTTACACATTTCATAATTTGTTTTCTTCCAAGTATTTTCAATGGTTGATCATCATCGTGTCAATCTTAGTCGAATCACTTTTAAAAGTAACTTATACTGAATAGCTTTTCCAAAGCTTTTCAAATCCTGTGCTTATAATAATGTTTTTAGTTTGACTCTGTCAATCAATAGCGTGACTTGAGTTTACGTATATATATATTTATTTGTGTAAATTTACATATTCATCTGTTCTCTCTTCACTAATGTGATCTTTCACTTTTAGTAGTAATATAAATATGACTATGACTGCATTGAGTTGCATAATCAATTTTATTTTATTATTTCTGTATCTAGTTTTGAAACTTGCTTACCAGATATGTTCAAAAACCTGAATTTACATTATAAAAATGTAGAGGGGAAACTTAAAGCTGAACAATTGAAGGTAACTTATATGTTTCACATATTACATACATCATAACTATAGCAAAAAGTCATGCTTTGTTTCCGTGCGTGGGAAGATTGGGCCGTATATCCAAATGAATTCCTCATCAAGTTGCAGAATATATTCTTGGGGCTAGTGTCGGAGGTGAGTTTTCTTTGACATATGACATCGTCTCATCAATGTTTGGTTCTAGTTTGATGCACTTCTGTAACCAATTAAAGATGTGTATATTTGAATTCGGGACCCTTTTTGGTGTAGTTGTCAACTTCTAAGCTACATATTTTTATTTCCAATTTTTAAACTTCAATATGTTACACTGTAGTTCTTAATTAATGTTCGAAATCTTTATACGCAGCGACTCATAATGTCGGTTTGAAATCGTTTCGACCTCAGTATTCATATTCATCAGTAAAAAATCTATGCCAGAATTTAAATAACTATCCAGATCTAAAAATAGCTATTTTGAAAAAGAATTACTGCTTTCTGTTAAGAACATCGACATGAATATTTTTTGTCATTTTTAAGAATAAAGTGTACGGAAATATCATTCACAACAACTACTCTACGATGGTGTGTATTTGAGATTATATGACTGAAGGCAAGCCTATTGAAAACTAGTGTTGTGGGTGAAAATCTATAATACAATCATAATATGGCTTGCAGCAACTGTGTTATCAGTAGTTTATTGTTCCATTCGTTTCAAAAATTACAGATTTCATGATCTGAGATAATTTATTAGATTACCCTTATATTTTACATAGACTAAGTTCTTTTTAAATCCATTGATTCATTTTAGGCTGTTGACTATGAAGCCGACCTGTCGGGTATTCCATTAAATTTGATTGAAGATGAGCAAAATCAAGATTTGTCAAAAAAAATAGGATTTTTAAATCCGGATGTCGAGGTTCTAGAAAGCCAACCATTAGTTCAATATGATGGAGATCCCTTGGATGTTGATGGTAGTCCTTTAGATAATGAAGATGATCGGTCTCCTTCACCAGTTCGGTATGCCACTAAAGATTGTTATGCTTTTTACTACCCTTTCCTCTCCCAATTTTGGTCGACTATCTTCACAATAAATTGTGTTTACAGGCTTGAAACATATGAATTGTTAAACTGATCAGATTACAAGTTGTTAGGTTATTAAAATACAAACTTCTGGTCCCCATTTTTGCGTTTCTTAATTAGGATACTAAAAGTCAGTGGTCGCATTGTTCAAAACATCACTGAGACACAAACTTATTTACTCTTCATCTTTTAACTCTTCGACATTTTATTCGGCGAGAGTATAATTAATGAACAACCTTTGCGCAATGACCTTCAGGATGTCCATTTACTTATTACGGTTAAATGAGTCTTATAAATTAGTGTTAAGAATTGGGATTTGGATTCACAGCTGATGTTAGGTATGCTGAGGAATATACCAATCATTATCATGTTAAGTCTAATGATGTCCTTGGACTCTAAATGGGCATTCCCTATTGGCCATTATTTATTTCACTCGTTAAATATTGTACAGATGTTGTTTTCTATTTTTATGGTACGATGTGGTCTGTTTGGTTGGTATATAAACAGAGTATGTTTGAAATATAACGATTCATATCTCAGAGGCTGTGACTTGCATTCTGGACTCAACTGGCTGGGCTAGACAGGGAAGCGGGACCAATCAGGGCACTAGGTCGTTCACTACGTGTTTTCCTTGTCACTGTTATCGATAGATAAAACGCTGCGTATCTAACCTGCAATCCACCCGTTACAGCAGCTGGGCTTTGGGTTTAACAATTAGAGTTAGTGTTCTCGTCACGATCTAACGTCAGCTATAATGCTAAAATGCTATTTAGCCATATATATGAATTCCGCGCCAAAATCCAAGACCTACTATCTTAAATCTGATTGAATCTCCCGTAAACCTTCGTCTCGGCGTTTTCTCTTTTCGATTCGTATTATTTTTGCTTCGGCGTTTTCGTAGGTTTTCTTTTTATTTACTCTTTTGACTTTCTGAACCGATGCAGTTTTGTGCGAGATTCTCCGCTTGTGTTTCTATCAGTTTAAATACCCAGCGTGATAACTACTTCGTATTGGTTCTTGTGGTTTTTGAAATATATGAGTTATAGTACTCTTATATCATTCACTTACTGTTTATTGCCTGAATTCATCTATTTTTGGTGAGTATATATATTACGACTAGTGGAATATTTCATTTTGAACTCAAACAATAAGTATTTATCGTTTGTTTCGAATCTGACCACAAAGCAACCTTACTATTTTTTCTCCACTGCCTTGTGGGTCAGACCTTTAAATCGAACGCTCCGGGTGTGCCCCCCTAGGAAAACCACCTCTTTCAATCATTAAATCTATTTCCTTTAAATGAATACATTAGGGCAATCTAACATTTTGATCAATCTAGTTTTAATTCTGTATAAATAAGGATTTTTTGAATCCTTCTATAGACCTAAGAATTCTCAGCTCAGTGCAACTACAACGGAGGATGAAGTAAAACTATCTGGGGATACTTCTAATCGTTTATTTGTTCCAAGCAAATGGGAAACTGTTGAAGCTACTGAACCAGAGGCATTAACAGTCGCAAGTATATGGGAATCCACCTCTGTTTTAGATACGAAGAAAGACCAAACTATCTCCAAGTCCAGTGACAACATGCAGAATACTCCTAGTCACCTTCAAAACCAGCCGAATGGTTTAAATAAGGGGGCGTTTCTTCCTTCTGAAGTTGTTAATGGAATCCCACTTGATACAAGTCGATGGAGTAACAATGCTTCAACAAATAAAGTAGACGATGATGTAGACGGAGAGTAAGTGATACTTTTTCATACATTTTTAAATTATAGCTAGATTTCAAGTCTACAATCCCTGTTACTAATATTTTTAGCCTAATGGAAAATGTTTAGCATACTCAGTGTGTATGTTTTGGACCAATTGTCTGTCATTTTGTGATTTTAAGATGAGCTGCAAAGTTCAAAATATTAGTTTTCCCTGTCATATAAACAAACAATTTAACTAATAACTTAATATCAGGGATTTTTGAACATAGGTTTGATTATGACTGATTGAACATAAAGCAATAATTAAGTTGTAACAACTGTACAAATACCTGGTACGTTATTGAAGATAAGGTAGATAATGAAGGGGTTCAAATCTGGCGTTCCACCTTTTCGCATAATTTCTTACGAAATTATGGACTATTAAATTCGTTTAAAAGTACTAAGTGAAATCTTATCATAAATAATTATTAGTCAGCCTTGCTGTATGGTCTTAAATTTAATAACCTAGTTGCACTAAACTCGTTACTAAATTTTAGTTTTTAGTCGGTATTTATTTGATTCTCTGAACAGTGTTACACTAAGTTTCAGTGGCCCAGCAACTTTTCCTATGTAGATCGTGACTTCAAAGCTTCCTTTACCAGCACAATTTTTGGAAACTAAATATCAGTCATCTCTCGCAGTGGGTGATTTTCATACATATGTATATTTCATTTATTACTTCATAATTTTTAATTTTATGTTTATTGCTAGAACCTTTTAGTAGTACTTTTGCAAATGCGAATTAGTTTCTTGGAAATAAGTTGGCACGTTATTTTCTTTTAAATCTGGCTCTTTTAGTGATAGAAATTTTTTGTTTACGTATTTTGTTTTAGACCATTACCCATTTTAGGAGGACTTGTGGCTTATGATGACGAAGATGCTGCCAGTCCAGGTGCGAGCGAATCTAGTCTTTCACCTGTTCCAGTTTCTCAAATTCCTTGTCCAACTCCCGTAACGTCCGCGACTTCTCACGTTTCTTCAACACCTAGTAGTACCTCGACAACGACACCTGTTTCTGAAGAGCGTCGCGCTATCTTAAGAGAAGTAGAACTCAAGGTATTAAAGTATCAAGATGAGTTGGAGGCAAGTCGTAAAGGAGATAAAACAATTACGGATGAAGCTATAAACAAGGTAAATAAAGAGCGGTTTCTGTCGGTACACATTTGTCTTTATGCTTCACAGAATTTTTTATCTACCGTAAACAGTAAGTAATCATACTTAGACTAAAGACTTTCTTATATTTTCTGTCATTTCCGATATCATTTGAAGACGTTCAGACATCATAATAACCTTTGATACATAAGATTTGTTAGGAACTTTTAATTAAGCAATAGTATGCCATGAAATATTTTTCTCAACACTGACTTGAAGTCCCTTGGTTTTGTAATTTTTATATATTACCTGTAATTTCATAGAAGGTTTAAGATCAGCGTTCGTTTGTAAACATTTGTGTTGTAACTATTTCGGGGAACGTACTTTCATCTCTGTTTACTAACTAAATGAAGTCTCATTCTCAGACCATTTATTCACACGCTTTCAGAGTTATTTGCAGCCGAAAGTCAATTTAATCACGTTGGTTTGTATGAGATTCACACTGTACTACGTAGTTTTTTGTGCTTGTTATCCACTAGTGACTTCTCATTTTTTCCACTATTAATTAAAGCAGTGATTCTTATTTAAATTATTTTATTTTATTGCAGCAAATTCAACGTTACAGAGAACGCCTTTTAGAAAGCCTTGTAGAAAATGAACATTCTGTACATAAAAAAGGACATAAATCTGTTCATCGTAACAAATCCAAACCATCCAAAAGTGTTAAGGAGAAAAGTGGTCTGACACCTCATCAATCGAAATATCAGTCGCGAGGTCGTGATATGTCATCTTCTCCTACACGAAGGAATTCAAGGGATCGTTCACCTCCGCGTTCATTCCGTGATCGTGATCGCCCTCGCCGACGTCATGCTTCTCCTTCTGGGAGCCTGGGTCCTGGAGACTGGAGTACTTATAATAGCCCTTCTATGCGAATGGACTCACGAAACTCCAGCGAACGTCGGAGGACATCTGCTTCCGCTTGGGAGCCTGACTCGACAGAAGATGAAATTAACTACTCAACACATTTAGAAGATGTGGAAGAAGGAGAAGCCACTGAGGATGATGACGCGGCGGCATTTACTTCAAATCAGTCCCATTCCATTACTCCGAAGAAAAAACATGTTCCACACAAATCGGTTAGCAGAACTTTAATTGGGTTACCTTAACTATTGTATGATTATCAACTTTTTCATATTGTCCTCACATGCAATGTTTATTAAAAATTTGAGTTCCCGTAGTTATTCGATACTTTTCAAATAAGCTGAATATTTTGTGAATATCTGGCCTTGATATTGTGAACATTTTAATATGTGTTTATATTTATCGGTTTTACTGAGGTAGATAGGCACACAATGCATTCAGATATTGAATCTCAATAGTCCTGACATTCTGTTGTAATATAGTTTGGATAAGAAGCCCATAAAAACACCGTACGACATAAATATGATTATGTCTAAGTTACAGCAGCAAAATTTTATCTTTTCTAGCATTAAACCTTGATAAAGTAAAGGCAGAATCGCTAAATGCCTGACTATCTTTCATTTGGAGGTGGATGGTTAGCTATATTTTTAACTATGTTAATAAACTTTTGGTCTGTCATTATTTCTGACTTGTTTGTCTTTTACAGAATCGCAAACGACACCGTTCACGAAGTCCGGACCCAGTAGCAGCCCACAATCGACATTCGCATCGTTCTCGGACTCCGTCACCATCCAGAAAAAAGGTACATTCGTCAGACTCAGCCTCCAGAAGCTTAAAGCGGAAATAACATATTTCTCATTGCTTTGCACAGACGGTGTTTCAACTTACACCTTTGTACAGTTTCTAATTTTCTCTTAATTTTGTTTGTATGTCTAGGTCCGATGATAATGTAGTAATACCTCTATCTTCAAAATTGAATAAATTATCAGCAACTTCACAGTTTTTAAACCTTTTACGACGAAGCTACGTCGATCATAACTAGAATAAAACATTTAAGTCTACATAATTATTTGACGTGCTAGAATGTATAAGACAAGTCGTTTCTTGTAGAATTCATTTTCGTTACTGCTGTGTGAAAATAGTGACAGATATCTCATTCTTTTCGAAGCTAAAGATAACCGTGAATTATTAATCACTCAACGCCACCGACATGTTTGCCCTTCAAAATATACTTATGACATTTGTATAGGTGATGCTTTCACATAACACCTGTGTGACATTGAATATATATCATTCAATTAAGATTTTAATCTAATACCGTACTTTACTGCGTTGCAGCTGTCTTTTTCGCTGTGTAAATACACACGGGTATTCTGTTTGGATGAAGCAGATGTTGTCGAATGTTAGGTTTCTGCGGTTTTTGTTGACCACCTCTCAAAACATGCAGTTCGTTTTCAGCTAATGTAAAATGCTTTTATTCAGTAGATGATAATTTGTCGGTTATCCTTTCACTTAGAAACTTGATTTCTATCAGCAGGCTTTTTCTCGAATTCGTCTTTGGATTGCTACGTTATCAGTCATATATATCTTCAGTTGATTCGATTTTCGGTGGGGTTAATTGTATTAAAGATCGATGTATATTATGGAGTAGGATATTCCGACGGTAAGTTTGTAGGCGAGTTTTCACAAATATTGTGCCTACAATGACTTTATTTGTAAGAACAGTCGTAATCGTAAGTTCCATCGACTGCTTAAAGTATTAAAATCGCTGGTGAAATTCAAAATTAATGTTTCCCTTTGAATGAATCATGACATTGGTAACAGTGAAGCTCTATTAGTTATTCTGATGAGACTGTAATTGATGGACTAGCCAAACAGAAGGGTTTGGGCGATCTTAAGGTCACGGTGATTATATCAGTGCCTGATTTTAAAGGGCGGCTGCAATAAATGCGATTACTAAAAAGTTCCTTTATTTATCATCTCGGTAGTCAAATGACTCTTTGACCTCGTGCAGGCTGTCGTGATGATGTTGTATTTCGATGTAATGTATGTTGGAGGCAAGTCTGCTAGAAAAAGAAATTTTTCCGCTCGATCCCGATTGAAACTAAGACAGATTATGATAGCTGTTGCAAACTGAAAAACAAAAGCACCAGTAACACGCTGCAACCTTTGCAGATGATACCGAAGCTTCGGCAGTTCAATGGTATGAGTATTGTCGAGATATATTTGCAATGAAAAGTGACAAGCTTGCATGGATCGTTCGAAGTTGGCAGAATCGTGGAAATAAACGAAACTCGTTAGAATATGCAAATTCAATAAAGGATGAAGTGTTAATGAAGACTGGGTAAGTAGCATTTCCATAAATATACTTAACAGATCCTTAGTATATATGATAGACGATCTCAAAAATGGCACTTCCAGCACGTTAGAAACCGAAAAGCTGCAGCTACAATATCAAACATACGAGAGTATGTGCAGCCGAGAATCACAATATACACGTATGACTGGAGAGCATGTCGGTGGTTACACAGACTGGGTTACGTGCATCGTGTCGTCGTCCATGAGCGGCATTTTGTAGACACTACCACCAAAGTACACACAAACAATATAGAAGCAATTTTGTCGAGGCTAAAAGAGGTCGACTAGTGTGGGGTTACATGGATGAGATCCTGTATCGCATAAATTACGGTTTCCGAACTGCATAAACTTCCTGACCTTGGAAATTTTCTAAAACATGTTAAAGAAATGTGTTCACTGTAATTTGTTTGGTTTTGTATGATATATTCTTACTCTATACCGACTGTTTTCTGATTGACTAAAATTCCTCAAGGTCAATTGAGATTCGTTCAAAGTTCGTCCATTAATTATAGCCTCGCCGTTATGCTTCTAATATAGTGACAGAGCCACTGTGCCCTAACTTAATGTAAAACTTTTGACGGGTTTTAAATTAGAATTGCACACAATGTTTGGTTGTAAAAGTTAAGTGTTGTCAATTTTTGCATGTCATACGTATAGAAGTAATTTTTGTGTTTTTAGAACTGACCCTCTACAGGAAGTACATAATCTTATGGGAGTGCGAAGTATTGTGAGAAAATTTGATCCAGTTAACATTAGCTGGTATAACTAACGGGCTTTACAATGAATTAGAATAGATTATCACTCTGAAATATCTATTAAAGCTTATGCCTGTAATATAATTTTAAAGCGTTTATGATAAGTTCTGAGTAGTTGTGTATGTAAACGATTACAATCCTACCTTGCTAAGGAAGCGTGGCAAATGATTCTCATGTCAGTCACTTTCCACACTGGATATGCAGGTTTTACCATTGAGTTGTGTAAACTAAAAATAAATTTGTACTTCATTCTAAAGTGGCTTTTGTTATATCCTAGTGAAGGTTAAATTACGAGTAACCTCCAGTAACAATTAATAAACTAATATTGTTATTGTATAACTATGCAATACCTAGATTGTATATATCCATATTCCTCTTATTATAAGCTTCATTTTGACCTATAGATTACTATTGTACGATTTAAGTTGTACTCCCACGTTCGCAACCACTTTTGGTTTGATTTTGTATAAATGTTATTTCCTATTTTATGCTGTGATGCGATCTGTTTGGCTGGTATATAAACCAAGTATGTCTGAAATAAATGATTCGCATAGTGGAAGCTGTTATTGGTGTTCTGGACTCAACTGGATGGGCTAAGTGAGCAACGGACCAATAAGTACGCTAGGCTGGTCAGACCAGTCAAACGTCATTGGTTTAAAACAGTACAAGAGTGAATAAATCGTATTTCGATTGGCGAATCAATTACGTGGTAACTAGTCGACCTTAAAGTCACAACAGCTTTTTGTACAATCGAAAGTTTCATTCTTTAAGACAGTGTTACAGATACTTTCCTTGGAGTTATTTTGTACAAACTTGGATTCAACTTCTGCATTGTCACCCCTTCATTTTTCCGCTTGAAATGTCATTAACTTCGTTGTACCGTTTGTTCATCCTTTTCCCATGAACACTAGAATTATTTACACCATTTTATGCATTTAATGGATCTCAATCAGCAACTCTTTTCCTGTTATCGGGGACTTTACAAGTAGAAGTCATTTATTGAACCTGTCAGTTTAGTTAATTCGAAGTCATTTTTTATTGTTGATTAACGGGTGTCTTTTTATCTTAGCTTTAAAATGTAAGTTGCTATTTAGATGAGAGTTTGAACTGGAGGATTAAGTTCAGTCAACTAAGACTGAAAGAGCTGTGTTACCTACGTCCCTCACATTCGACATAATTTTTGTTTATATTCGTGTGACTAAATAGACCTACTCATGTCATTACGTTATTAGCAAATGACTGGTTGTGATGGGTTGAAGTACTAAATTTTCAATTACTTATTTGCAAATTTGGTCTCCACAGGATTTACGTTGAAAATCTATGTAGTGTTTTGTCCCCCTCTGTTTTCATTGATGATGATAACAAAATATAAATCCTCGTTAACTTCGTTTGTATCTTAACTAATTGAATGAGTGCAAGTGTTTTAGAGATCTAGATTTCAAGAATTCTCTTAAGCAAACAGACGGACAAAGATGAAGTGAGGTAATGCGCTACCTGCCCATTTAAAATATTACTTGTTACATACGTATTTATATTTAAAATTAGATAATGAAAACCGTAAGCAAGAAGGCACTATATTAAAGTGCATAGGCAAGTTACATACACGTTTGATTTTTAGCGATTATATTTACGTAAGTGACGAAACACTTGTCCATACCAGCATGATGTTCTTAATGGCCAGGCTTGCTCAGACCAAGACATAAAATGAAGTGTGAATTTTTGCTAAATGTACGAATAAGTTAGTGAGATACATAACCCCAAATGCCCTGGACGGCCGAGAGTGGGGAGAGTCAGCTCACCCTCTCGAAATGCTTTCAAGTGGCCACTTGCATACAACCACTGCCAGGGACGTGCTACTCACTGCCTTCTCGTGGCGAGGGTGTTGTTTATGAAATTGAAAGGACGAAGTGCGAATGTTCGGGCAGGTGGACACGGTGAGTTCACATATAGGAGTTGGGAAACCCTAATTCCCAACTAATGGTACACATGGGCTCCAGTATCCTGAGGGAACAAATGGCGTATGAACCAATCATTGGTCACCGGCTACCATGGGACTGCATCTCCTTACGATGCTCCCCTGCCTTGTGGATCAGACCTTTATGTCGAAGGCTCCGAGTGTGGCTACCTAAGTAAACCACCTGTTTCGGTCTAGGCACCCGGGGAGTATCACAGCACACACAAAAATAAAATTAAGTGACAATATTAACTGGAAATAATGTTAAAACTCAGACAACTCATATCCGTTCGATAATATTCATTATTATTTTTTTATATACTAGGACACTTATGTACTCTCTTTAAACCCTACATTGTGTATCCTTTTTTAAACATACATCAGCCCACCTATGGTGGAAACTCGGCGACCGGAACGTCGTACTTCGTTAGCCTGCAATGTCATCCGAAGTCAAGGGCGGCGTGGTCTGTTGATCTGGACGTAAGACTGAAGTCTCGTCTGTAGATGGTGCACATGACATGCGCCGTTAACCAGGACTTGAGGATGAGGTCTCTGACGTATCTAGCGTGGGATCTGAAGTAGATGTAGGGGTCCCGCTAGTAGGTTTGATAGGTCTAGCATTGGGTCTCAAGTTATCGAGTAGGGCACTGTCATCGACGTGTGCTGGTTTGAGACGATCAGTGCTGACGATTTGACACGGCCATGTCGATCAACCTTGAAGGTCTTTTCGTGACGAGAAATCACATAAAAAGGTCATTCGTAAGGCTGTTGCAGGAATTC